CATACCGATTATTTGAATGCCCTCAGAAAGAGACCTGCAGAAAGACTAATTAACACTTTTGGCAGAGGAGCATGATTTTTAAAGACTGCAAATTCAGAAAAGGTCAGGCCAAAAAAATTTAATAAATGGCACAGACCCCATGCTGTTCTGCTTCTGTGCAATGTAGCGGATTTTAGTTAAGAGCAATTCCAGCAGGTATCCTCTTCCAGAATCTCCAACCATATGCAGCTCATCTACTACCACCATACCTTGAAGCACAAAAATAACAAACTCATTCTCTATTAATTATATCAATGAATGCAAACAATTAGGACTGCAAAGCAATAATATCTTTTAGAATTTAGTATTTCTGTATTTAGTAATTTACTGTAGTGTACTGACTTTGGTAAATTACTTCTTTTATTTCAGTTTATAAAATACCTGCAAATAACCCAAATGCGTTCAGTTTACACTGATAAAAGTGAGAAAAGAAGGAACTTCTTAAACTTGAAAAGCTGCAGTTAAGCAAAAGTTTGACATGACCGTCAATTGACGACTCAGTTGTTCAACTGTTTCAGTACTAGCACCTATAACAAATTTATTACCTAGAAGAGTCATACTATTCTCTTCAATGAGTCTGTTAAGAAGAGAGTTGGCTTTTTCTATGGTGCAAACAGCTACGTCCAGAGCTGTGAACCCTCCAGCAGCAGAGGTGCTGCCCATGTACCCCTCCACCCGAACTCCTGCCTCTTCAAATATGCTCTACAAGATAAGATACACAAGTGTGTTAGACTGAGACATATACACAGAAAACACTTTGTCCATAACCATATGCATGAATTTCTCTGTTCACTGCTCACGCACCTGAAGGTAATGCATCTTCTCTTTTGCAACAGAGACAAATGGCAGGATGAAGAGAGCTTTTCTTTTTGTCTCCAACACACGCTTTAACATCAACAGCTCTGACACCAGAGTTTTTCCAGCACTAGTAGGGGCTGAAATAAAATTTAAAAAAAAAAAACACAAAACGAAACAATAATAATAATAATAACAGCAATACAAATAATAATTGAAAAGATTTTCCCAACTGATATGCCTGTTGCTCCTCCCTCCCCAAGACCCACTTTAGAAACCTTGAGATCATAGAGGAGAGAATAAAGAAAACATAAAACATTGAGATTCTTACCAGAATACACCAGGTTACCTCCCTGCAGCACCTGTCCAACAGCAAGGCACTGAGCCTGCCACTCAAACATCCGAGTCACTCCATGTTTCTGGTATCGGTCCAGCACAGGTTTTGGTAAGCCCCAGTTGGAGAGCAACAGCTTTTCAGCTTGGTCAGGAGGAACACACAAGGCAGGACCTACAGTAGGACACAAGTTATTACACGTAGTATTGAATCAAAATCTTCAATGCTTTGTTTAAAACAGATATGTGATCATGTCACACACATGTCAAATATGAATACAGTTTATTGAAACAGTCCAAATCTGGGCACACATGAACAAGAAAGCCATTCATACAAGCTGCAAAACTGGTTTACTAAAAGGATAAAATAGCCACCTGCTGCAGGGCCTCAAAACTGTGATCAGTGGTCGCACCACTGCCTTTGATTATATTCAATATGAGGCAACTTTATTTTATTTGGGCCTTTTTTCTTCTCGTCTTCATGCCTTTCCTTGTCTTATGTAAAATAGTTTTAACTGCTTTGTTGGCGATTGGTGCTAAACAAACAAAATCCCCTACCTCATGTCTCATCTAAGGGGAAGCAGCTTGGAAATGTTGCTATTGATATGTATGCTATGAACGTTGATATTGAAACCATGTTCTGAAGAGGGTTTACTTATCATATCAAATTTTACAACCTTGATTATTTCTGTGCACATTCCTAAGCTGTATGCAGTAACACACACAATAGTTCATCTGTGTTTCGTCCAGCAGCCAGCTGAATGGTTAATCTAGCTCGACAGTTTTATGTCAGTGCCTGGTGTACTTTACCTGGATGAGGCAATGTGTCACTGAGAGTGCTGAGCTCTAAGCCGCTGGGGACTGTGAGCACAGAAGCAGACTGACTCTGTAACGATTGCTGGAGTTTGGCCCTCTTCATAGCTGCTGCGAGACGGGTGGGGCTGAACAAGATGTAGTCCCTGGATAGATGGCCATTCTTACTTGACCCACTTTTGTCTTCGCTAAAAGGAGAACTCTTTCTTTTAGACACAAGCTTCTGGCTGTGGAACAGAGCAAGAGAGAATATGTTGACAGAAGCAGTTCAGGAGGACATTAAAGAAATTATACAAAAGCTAGACAAGTTAAAACACACATGCTGGAAGTGCCTGCTTGCTGACTCTTTTGTGTGTTCTGGCAAGCTACAACGTTGACAACGGCAGAAGCAAGCTTTGAAGTAGTGCTCTGTGGATGTTCCACTTCCTCCGAGTCCTCACTGAAGAGAAGCTTTTGAGCAAGCTCTTTGCAGTCAGCTCTCCATCTCGCTCGCTTGCTATCCCCTCTAGGCTCACAGACTCCATCAATAGGGCAAGGGTGTCTGCGGGATCTTTTGTCTGAGGGGTGAAACGATGCTCCATCTCTGATCTGCACCAAATCTCTCTCCTTTTCATTTTGTGCAACTAGTGCAAGGGGGCGTAAAGGGGCAGAGGGAGTTGATGCTGATGATGGTCTTTCCAGGGCATGTCTGTTTACTGCGAGCTTCACAGGGTCCACAACGTCTAGCGCCAGCAAGACCTCTTCACTGAGAGCTAAAGTGGACTCCCCCAGCAGAAACACAGCTCCTCCGTTCTAAGACAAAAAACAATGCTTATGATTTATTTGAATCAAAGAAGGACAGAGAGAGTAAAATAAGCTGTTCCACTCACCGTGTGGTTGTCTTTGTTGCTGTTCTGTGATCCGTTTGTTTTGTCTGACAGGCTTGTTTTCTGTCTGTCTCCGTTTGGTGGCTCATCATGAGCTTGGAAGCTGTGCGCAGAAATAAGTGCATTCATTACTTCAACACGTACGACTGGCGATTATATTAATATTGGTGTCTCCAAGCAACAGCTGACTGTTCATAAATGTCATTGCAGATAAATGAAGTGAAACAGGTTACTCACCTTGTTTTCTTTTTGACCTGGTGCTGTCCCATGTAGCTCCTTTTTTTCTGAGGACCCGAGGTGTTCATGCTGAACAAACTGCAGAGGTTTTAGTGAACGCCCGAGTGAGTGGATGTGAATTAACATGACATAAATTTACCCTCGACACAGGCTTATAAACTCAATTTGATGTTCACAAAACAAAAGAAAGCAATAGTCAACCTCTTAAGTAATTATTTTAGTAGCGAAAAAAAACAATAAAAAAAACCTTTTAGTTTGATAAACAAATCTCAAATCAAAAAGACCGCCGGAGCGCCACCCCGGTGTTTCGCTAAAACAGTCCGACGGAATACAAGCTGTTCCTAAGCAAAGTTCCATTTAGCATCACTATTGCTACTACTATCTATTCTACATTGACTATTAATAATGATTGATGTGAATAATGATTGTGTAGTGAATAATGATTGTGTAGTGAATAATGATTGTGTATTTACAGTGGTACTTTTTACTTTCTACTTTACCACTTACGTAAACGTAAAAGTAATACATTCTAAACCTTACTGAACCTTACAATATAAAAGTAAAACTATCCATTACACATAAAATGGGTTCCATAGCCATTCTTTTATGTTATAGTCTATTATCAAATTATTATAAATGAATAAGCAAGTATTTCATATTTGTAGATGCCCAGGGCAGAGGTGATTGAAGTAATTGTATATACTGTTGCGTGGTTTCATTTACTGTACAGCAGTTTATTTTTCTTTTTTCCCCTTTTTCACAATTTAGCTATTCTTCCCCGACCATACCGTATACATGCTGATGACGCAAAGAATACACATTAGTATAATATACCATGTATGTGTAGTGTAAATAAAACTAATACTGATAATTGACAAATTAAATAAAATGTTGTTTAATACATGTTTTATGATGTTTTATGTTTTGGTAAAAATAATTATGCTCCAGGGTATTTACTGAAAAACACATAATGCCTTAAATTCAGAAAAATTACTACATCGTAAAATTTTCGAAAATTAACCCAGAAGGTATTGCGTCTCTTATGAAGTGCTACTTCTTTCCATTTCTTTTCTGGAAATAATGTGTAGAACAATATCGTCCTCTTCTTTTACTATAAGTTGGATATTTTATATCTATTTAGTCTGGTCCTGTTACAGTGAAAGTAAGTCTGCCTATTCAGCGGGGAGGAATAAAATATAGACCAAATATGACAGTAAACATTTATAATGTTTAAAGCTGAATATTCAATTCCGAACTTAAGATGAGTATGATCTACTCTGTTTGCCACGAAAGTGAAATCTGTCAGTCATAGCATAGGCCTTTACTCAAGTCTTCTTTCTTTCCCGTAAGTGCATATGAAATTCTGGGAGGAGCTATTTCCGTGGTTCAGAGAAATACTTAGGAAGTAGTGCCGAGATCCTCTGAACTGTTTACAACTCATATATAGAGTCACGGTTATGTTTGTCATGGTTATGAAGAAAAATATGTATTTTCCTCTGTGCAAAAATTGCTCAATGTGAATATTTGCTTTGTGAAAAATTGCAGGAGATAGATATCATACGATTTAGAGACCATTTGTGGCTGATTGGCGAGTCTATGTATGACTGTATCATAGAAACAATGATTATCCCATACATGCTAAAATTACTTGCACTTGGATTTTGTTTTACATCTCTGTTCAGATTTTCTCCCTCTAGGCTCATAAAAATTTCCCTGTATGTTAACTATTCTGCTTTAATATAGTCTATAGTTATTTTTACTGACTGTGTTTGGAACACTGTGCTCTAGAGTTACTGGACAGCAAAAGGAAGATGCAGCATGGGGAAAACACTACCATGTTATTCAGTTAATGAAACGCCAGCGGTTTGAGCTGGGGGGGATGTGGGCGGGGCTTAGAAGTCTATCTCTGGCTGCATGGCGTGAGCGAGCGGCTAGTGGGCGCGCCCGCTGCGACGTTGCGGAGGCTTCAACATGGCGGAAGCCCTGACAACTCAGGAGCAGCTGGTAAGAGTCTCTTCGTGATTTTTTTTTTTCCTTTTTCGTTTTCTTGTAGTAGTCATTGTGTACAGTCGCCACCCTCAGTTTCTTCTCTAAAGGAGGTTTTTAAAAAAATCAGATTCTGTCGTGCGGTTATTTCTGGGAACGGGGCGGTGTAGTAAACAGCCCCGGCCCGTTCACAAGCCTCCTGTCGACCGACTCCGGTGTGACTGACAGTAGTTAGCATGTGTGTTAGCGCGATGGCGTTTGCTAGTAGTGGAAGGTATCATTTTACCGGCAGTCTGCCTTGAATGCTCACTTCCTGATAACTAGGCATTATGCGAACCACATCGATATGTTCATGAGTCTAAAGTAAATTAACCAGCGACCCACAATTCTTTACAGTTGGCCCTACTCATAGAGCTTGTAGTCACTTAATGGCTTTCGTTAGCCGTCCAGCTACCACATGCAACCTAGCCGCTAGCTAATGGCAGTGGCTATTGTTGACTTGCAGGGAATTTCCTAGACTGCAGTCTTACCAGTCTTTATAAATGATTTCGGGCTGAGCATTAAGGTTAAAAAAGATAAATCGATTGTTGTCTTTATTATTTATTGTCATTTTATACCATGACACGGTTAAAAATGACCAAAACCGCGACTTTGGACGAGTGTTTTGCTACGAGCCAACGAACTAGCAATATCTCGTCTAACGGATTTACTGTGGACAATTCATAGAAATGATCCTCCGGTTCGTAGCATTGTTGTTGCAATCACTTTCTAGTAAAAGGGGTGGGCCTGAGATAAATGACAAACATGAAATGTCATTCTGCGTTTCTGATTACAGCATTATATTACAGCTTCTGGCCTGATCTTCATCTACTTATGACAAGGTTAACGGATCATTGAGCAAAGTTAAAGGGCATACTTTGGATGCTCCCCAGATTTGCAGATCTTATCTGTTGATAGCTAATCACTTTCGCGCACACAGTAACGTCTGTCAACTAACTGCCCGCACCACTAACGTTTGTAGATTTTGGCTGCTCGTGTTTGTCGTCTTGGATTACATCTCAACCAAGGGAAAGCGATCATCCTGGTGTTGATGTACCGTTATTGGGTACTAGATTAATTATGTGGTCATGTAATTTAAATATGCCCCCTAAATAATGAGTTTTTCAATAGTTTTTGTCCCACTTAAAAATTTAGGCCCACAGTGATAATTCTCTTGATGTGTTAATACTTTGTATATAAGTATATTTTTTGCCAGTCAAGACCTTGCATCTTTTTGGCATATAATTAAGACTGTGCCAGGGAATGCACACATTTTTCCAAATATTAGTCTTGGATTAGAAAAAATGAAAGTCTGCATTCTGGTTAATTTCCAGTATGCATCAATTATATAGTTATTTGTTATAATTCATCTATTTTCTGCATAGGAAAAAGATATATACAGAGGCAGTAAAAACACCAGAAAAAAACAGTTTTGTTACTTATGGTTTCATAAAAAAAAGTATAATAAAGACATTTTTATCAAATTATTTTCTTTGTAAAAAGGGAAAATGCATACATTTCTATTAAATAATGTAACAGACTCATGTGTTTAGTCATTCTCCAAAATCCCACGAGCCATTTAAACAAAACAAAGAAAACCCTGCACTGACATTTTCACATGGATGGTGCCACATGTTGGATGAGCATCTCTTTTGTTTAGGGCTACAATTAATAACAAATTTCATTATGAGACAAGGTGCTTAAGCATTTGGATGGGTTACGTTTGCCAAAAAACACCCGGTGGAGAAACACGGTATTTTGAATCAGCTTTACAATGGATGTACATTTCTTTGTCCTTATTTGTGCACATATATAAAGCTTCTTTGTGTATAGCTGAAAAGTTAATTGTTGTCCCCATTTTTATACTTTTCTCCTGGTGCATTCAAATTTGGAGGATGGATGCAGAGTACTTGGAGCAAACAAGCTGACTGTTGTCTCTTGGCACATGAGTGCTTTTGTTGATAGTATCTTCCAGTAGCGCACACTTCACAATATTTAATCTTTGACAAAATTGTGTACTTTTCTTGTCATGTCAGCAATCATTCCCATATTATCTTTTGTTTTTTATGGATATCTTTCAAAGCCATATAAAGTTTTACACACAATCTCTCTTTTTTATTTTCTTAACGTGTGCCCATCTTTTCCCGTGTCTTTTCAGGCTGTAGAGGAGTTCCTGAGTGAGGTGCGGAGCAGGGAGCAGCCTCACAGCGCTGGGCTCGTCTCTCAACCTACAGCTGTTAAGTTTCTTATGGCCCGCAAGTTTGACGTCTCCAGAGCCATCGATCTTTTCCAAGCATACAAGGTATGGCATTGTTTCAACTAGTGACAGCAACATCTGTTTACCTTCTGTCGTCACGCGAACCCCATCGGGCTTAATTTGTGCAAAATAGTTCCAATTTTTCAGGTAGATATCACACATTGAATTTGTAATGATTTCTTAAGTGGTGTTTAGATATAAAATATAATAATCCTTAAAAATAATCATAGGCTTGTTTGTAAATGCAGGAAATCTTTAAAATGCATAGTGTTAATGCCCTATAAGTATATCTAATGACAGGGTTTCTGTTGGGGGGGGAAAAAACCACAAGTTAGTTCACAGGTTATTACATCTCTCAATGTTAAACATTAAAATATAATTATAGTTATAACATGTAATTATTGACGCTTAAATAGTTATCTATTATCTGTTAAAGTAAAAAAAAAAATGAACTGGAGTGGTACTTGTATCGCACTCAAGCAGAGCGCTAAGAGAGCTTTTGCACCATAACCAGCATTCACTAATTAACACATTCATACTGCACTTTTTTGTATGTCTTTAAATGCTTTTTACTTCTCACACACCTATGAATCACAATGCCCTGAACATACTTGTATAATACAGTGTATATAAAAATGTATGTTAATCTAATACATGCTAGCACTTTAGTGGAATAATTGAGTTCTGTTTAAAAACCAAAAACAACCCTTGAGTTGCAAGTTAATAAACTGGCTTTTGTAATACACAGACTAACAACTGAATACTGTTAAGTGTTTGTATACATACTAAGTCATCTATAAGCTTATGACTTTCCCCTGTCTCTCCTGTGTCTATCTTCATGTATGAAAATTAGAACACAAGAATCAAAGAGGGCATAATCAATATCAACCCTGACGAGGAGCCCCTACGCTCTGAGCTGCTGAGTGGCAAATTTACAGTCCTGGTGAGTGATAAAGCAATGATAAGTCACTTAACATAAAAGGAACTGTAGCTTATCATTTTGAATTAACACCCAAGAATACACAGAAAATTATGCAAGGTGGTGCTGGTCGTTAAAAAAGAGTTTTGTGTGTTTCTGTATGTGCATGTCACAGGGCTCATGTAAGCTTATTTTTGTATTTCTATGAATAGAAATGAAGTAAAGTTTTTATTTTCGATAAATTGATTTGCAGTGGTGTAACATGGTGATCTGTTAATATTTTTCCCAGCCTGGCCGAGACGCAAAAGGTGCTGCTGTAGCACTCTTCACCGCTCGACTTCATCGACCAGACCTCACCACCCATAAAGCTGTTCTCCAGGCCATCATCTACCAGCTAGACAAAGCCATAGAGAGGTAAAGCGTGAACCATAAATAAACAGTTTCCTATGACACTTTATCGTGTTATTTTGATCTGGTACAACAGTTCGTCCCCTGTGCTCTGATGTTAATTCATAAAGATAGAAATATCGATAAATGGGTTAATCATTAGCGTAACATGAAAAGTCCCTGATTGAAGACCAGGAGGAGGTATAAACACAGTCTGTCACAAGCTAGTCTATTTCATATGCCGATCTTAAGCCCACATAAATGGGAGGGTTGTGTCAGGAAGAGCATCCAACATAAAAATCTCTTGCTTTAGTGATTGATTTGAATAAAGGATCAGTTGAAAGGATCAGTTGAAAGTACCTTTAGAAATATAAAATAACTAAATGAAACACAGGAATTATAATAGATAAAAGTGTATTTTTAAGCACATTTATTTTGCTCTTTAACTGTAAAGATCTTCATTTCTTTATAGTGTTCAAACTCAAAGGGATGGGCTCATATTTATTTACGACATGACCAACTCCAGTTATGGAAATTTTGACTATGAGCTCTGTGTCAAGATTCTCAATTTGCTCAAGGTAAATATAAGGAGCATTTTTTTTTTTCTCACGTTGTGTTTGATGATCTTGGAATTCAAAAATGCTTTTCGCCTTGTTTTTTTTTTTTTTTTTTAAATATTTCATTATATTTTTATAGTGAAAAATAATTATATATTATATAATATATAATAAAAATATTTTCATTTTGCAGGGGGCCTTTCCAGCTCGTCTAAAATGTGTCTTCATTGTGTCCTCACCTCTTTGGTTTCGAGCACCTTTCGCGGTTCTTCGCCTCTTTGTACGCGAGAAGCTGAGAGAAAGGGTGTGTCTCTTAGTTTCATCAAGAATTTGCATCATGTATAAGATGTTTGTTGTTCATTATTTAATACTTACTTTTGTTTTTCTCCTCACCAGGTCTGCACAGTGAAAGCTCATGAGTTGGCAAGTCATATCCCAGTTTCCTCCCTCCCTGAACACCTGGGTGGGACATCCCAGTATAACCACGTGGCTTGGATTCAATCCTGTGTTAATGTAAACACAAACATTGTTCAGGGTGACACAAAAGAACATGACTGCGTGGGAAGCCTGTTGCGCTCTTATAGCTTAGAGAATAGCAACACAAGTGTAGATGCAACACTGTCCCACGCCCATATAAATACACAAATAGGTCCTGAGATAGCTGTGGCTAACTCTAACTGCTATGATGACAGCAACGCAAACCCACACAACCACTGTGTTGTGGAGAGCAGGACTCGAGGCCAAGGCCAGCACCAACATAGTCCAAATTCTGCTGTGGACAAATCGCAAGTGAACCACCAACACTGGAATGGCTCAGCAGTGAGCGGAGCCAACATGGCTGTCATTGGCTCCAGCGCCAATGCTAACATTAATGGTAGTGGCTGCCAAGCTCCTCCCCAATCAGACACTCCCCCTGATACACCCCTCTCAAAGAAAACTGATGGGGCTGTGGTGAGTGGCAGTGAGGGTATAGAGGAGGAGTATGAGGAGGGTGAGGAGGAAGGAGTGCCTCCGTTGCCTCAGAAATCTCAGCCTCGTCCACCCAACCAGCCTTCCTCAAAATCCCCACCGCTGTCCTCATCTTGGGGTCCTGATGATGAGAACCACTGCATGGAGGTGTCTGTTCACATGCCAGAGCAGGGAGCCATGACGGTGCATGACCTGGTGGAGTATGTGAAGAGGAAGAAGAAGAGAGGGATCTATCAAGAGTATGAGGAGATCCGCAAGGAGCCTCCTGCAGGCACCTTTGACTACTCTAAGTAAGACTTGTCAAGCTCTTATATTTTGTGTGTCTGAATTAAATGTATAATATCAGCCAGAGCTTCAGTTTGTTATGTAGCCTCACATTAGACTCATCTTTGCAGGAAATTGTCCAATCAGGTCAAGAACAGGTACAGTGATGTTCTCTGCCTCGACCAGTCACGAGTGCGACTGTGCCCACTCTCTAATGATGAGGATGAGGTAATAATTCATCTGTAGATACATTTCAATCAATAAATTATAAGTACGATACTAATACAATATTATTGTTTATCTCTGGGAATTAGTGAAGATTGCATTAGCATTTAGCTGAGATGAAATTCATGTTTATCATCGGCAGCTGAAAGTATCTTATTAATTTAAGACATTGAATGTTGGCCCAGTCTGTGTATTCAAAATGTTTTGAATACAGGTGTATCTGTGTTTTGGGGTTTTTTTTTTTCAGTTTTTGTTGTTGTTGTTGTTTGTTTTGTTCTTTTTTTAGACAGTGGTCTAAGTGTAGAATTATTTACTACAATTAAGGTTATGCACACTTTTTTTTTTTTAAATTGTAATGTGTAGCATCTTCTTATCCAAGGCAAAATAACTGAACGGTGAATCGCTCTGCTGTGTTTTGCAGACATCAGATTACATTAATGCTAGTTTCATGGATGGGTACAAGAGGAGCAACGCCTACATCGCTACTCAGGGTGAGAAGCTGTTCACATAAGTTCCTGCTTTACTCTTTATTGCTTGTAGTTTTGCATATTTTTATGATATAATGAGATGATTCCTTGAACAGCTCTTATCTTTCAATGAATGTAATTCTAGTGCTTTAACTGGAAAACTGCATGACTCCTTCAGATATTTGTTTATTATGTTCTGGTCGTGATGTACGTCAAATGCCTCTAATGGGATTGTGAGATTGAATGGAGTGTGAAGATCCAAAGTGCCTCAACCCTTTTGAGCAATACTGTAGTTCTCCATACTGTGTAAAGAACTACAGTATGGATAATACTATAAATAGTACATGAGCTATTATCGCTGTTGCTCTCTTTATTCTTTTATTGTTTTGTCTGATCTCTACTGACTGCAACTGATCAGTCTTTCACTTTACTGACTTTCATTATTTTGGAATCTCAGCTGGCCGCATTGACAGATTTATCTTTTACATATGCCAGCTTTGCTCCCACTTCTCACCTCTTTTAGTCTAGAGCCGTACTCTGTTTCATCACCACCAATAATGTGACTTGCCAAGCTGTTTGTATGGTTTGTGCTTGCTCGGACTTCCCAGTCCGTCATACTTAATCCATCAACAGCAGTTCTTTAGTACATAGCCGCTTAGCTCCTACAGCTGTGGTTTTACCTTTCCGACTCTCTGTCGCTATTACATTTCTACCTGGAAGTATGTCTGTCTGTCAGAGATGTATTCATCCCAGCGAAATTTCACGTTGACTGCTGGGAGATTTTAGTATGGATATTATCTGTATGTATATTAAAATACAGCAGTCTCTATCAGTAGTCAGTGTAAAATTTCCATATGGATAATATCATACAATATCAATAAGGATAAGCAGAAGAGGATGGGTAATGTTCTCATGCTGGACTTTACATTTTACTAAGATAGCTTTTGACTGATTATCTTTTAATGGCTATTTAACTCTATCCAAGACAAATGTTCAACATGTCACTTCATTTTAAGGGCATTAAATAGTCTTTCGGGTGTCATTGACAGCCTTCCCACCATAAACTCTTAACCTACCCCCGATGGTCTTCTTGGACTTTTAGATGCTCTTGCTTTAAAAACATAGGTTGTTTTTCTCCCCATCATGGTTTACTTCTGAATTATGCAAAGTGGTAGCAAAAAACCTATCTCTTGGAACACCACTACAAAAGAGTTGGATTTTGTTGTTCACAAAGAAATGTACAATAACCACATTCTTCATTAGAAGGATGCACGCTATCTACAGAAAAATCTACTTGGTACACAGATCTAATCAGTAGGGGTGCAACGATATTCGTATCGATATTGAACCGTTCGATACAGTGCTTTCGGTTCGGTACGCATATGTATCGAACAATACAATTTTTTTCAATTTTTTTTTTCAATTTTTTTTTTTTTTTTGTGTCCCGTTTGGATCTATAGCCATCAGAATTGTTGTCTTGAGGCCAAGAAAGATGCCAAGAGGATTTATTTTAAGTGGATCATCATATTGGTCCAGTTGATTGACCTTTATTATAATTATGAATTTATTTTATTTTCAGTTGCAAACGGGACAGACATGACTGTGGGATAGGACAGGGGGAAAGAATGAAAGAAAGAGGGGGGGAGAGAGAAAGAAAACCAAAGGGGAGAAAAAAAAAGAACAATACAAAATTTGTAATTTATTTTATCAACTTTCCTTCTGACGATGCTGTCTGTGTTGAGCGCTCAGTGAATCTGCATTTGACTACTCCGCCTAGGCTCGAGAGTGCAGCCTAGGCGGAGTAGTCGAACGCAGATTCACTGAGCACTCAACACAGACAGCATCGTCAGAAGGAAGAGCGCAGGGCAAGCTAGCGAGACAGAAGTGGACCTCCCCACCCTCATTCAGATCTGGCATTTGGAATTATTTTGGTTTTCATGTGACGTATGACCCTGAAGGTAAGCGAGTCATGGACTAAAGTAAAACAGTATGTTGGATGTGCCATGCAATGCTCAATTACATGGGTGGGAGCTAGTGTGTTAGCGCAGTTAGCTCGTTAACGTGTTGGCCGTCTAGCCCCTCTGTATAGGGTAGCTCGTTAATGGAGATTCGCCGTGTTGTGGCGTTAAGGTTATTTCAACGAGATTAACCTGAAAGCACTAGTGGGAACACAACGAATATGACTGCACATTTACACCGACATCATCCTAGTGCAAAGACAAAAACAAGCATGCATGCTACTAACTTTAGCCGAGTCATTTAGACAGCTGTTAGCACAGGATTCTCCTTATGGAGACCTGATATGTTTAATATGCTGCTGAGAATATAGCCCAGAAGAAGCGGATAGTATAGCTTTTATTTTGGAAAGAGACATTTCTCTGTAATAAACTCTCTTTTCCAAAGATGAGTGATTCCTCAATCAGATACAGGGCTCGCAATATCGCTAGCCCGATGTCCCGGGGCTATCTCTCCTCTGCCTGTCGGGCTATTGTAGGAAGGAAAAATATATGTCAATGCTTTTGCATTCTTTCAGAAATGTAGCTGGGTAATTATGTCATTGGGTGAGCCACTGTCAATATGTGACATATTGAAATCGTGTTTGAATTTGCGCTTGTTTTTTTGCTTTCACTTTGCAATCGCGCGAACTGTGTATAGAGAGCGACAGCACTGATCTGTGAGTGATGATAATTTGTGCACCAATTCCTCTGACATCGTCTTATTAATTGTTAGCTTACTATGCAAACATGACAAGTGAAATCTCCCGCAGCTTAAACATGTGAGAGGTTGATCGCGCAGAGAATCGCTGAGCTTATGTGAGTGCGGCAGGATATATATTTCACTACGATGACCTGGATGATTGAGAACCTTCACAGACAGATATATATTTTAGTTCTGCTGAGCCAAATAAGACAGGTCAGGGTGAAGAAGTGACAGCCAAAGAAAAGCTTACCACAAAACGGAGAAGTTATGACAAATCAGACTATAAGGCAAAAAGAAAGTGCAGCTTTATGGTTTCATGGACAAAAGAATTTCTGTGGCTGCAATATGACGAGCTAAAAAACAACACGCACAAGGGTTAGGGTTAAATTTAAAAACTGTACTTTTGTGTTAAAATATATATTTACAATTTTAATAAATGACAAATTAAAAAGGCATGAACATTTTTTTTTGTATCGAAAAAATATCGAACCGTGACACCAAAGTATCGAACCGAACCGTGAATTTTGTGTATCGTTGCACCCCTACTAATCAGCTCAGGTCAAGGGAGCAAAGGACCCTTTTCTGAATGGTCAGGAACATAATAACCTGGCTCTGCTGCCTCATCCTTACCCACCCTCTTACTGTAATTCTTTGATGTTATTTTTAAAATGTCAAAATAGACTAGATTTACCAGCAGCTGATCACTAACACTTCCTGTAATTTTCCTCCTCCCGTTTCCCTCACTTTCGTTCCCTTTTTAGTTTGAAACTTCCCTCTGCTCACAACCAGTATCATTCCTTGTTTATGTTCCTCATTGATTACTGTAACGTCTTTCTTTTTTGTTTCTCTATCAAGTCCATCCACAAATGTTATCTGGTCCCAATTGCTAGTGGTCATATCATAACCAGAACTCCCTCCATAAGTCATTTAGTAAAACTTCATTGACAAAATCACATTTAAATTTGTCTTTTATTCATCAAGATTCTGCTCCTCACCTTTTAAGCTGTTCCATAAACTTGCTTTGCAGTACCTCTCTTCTACTCTCAGATCCTGCACCGTGCCTCTGGAACTCCCTCTCAGACATCTGTAATATTGGCATTAATCCACTTTAAAATTTCCCCTCAAAACTCTCTTCTTTAAACTGGCATATTCACCTTTAACTGTCACATGAACCCTCTGTTCTTAATTAGCTTATATATTGTAAAATAGTTTTATTGTCATTGATACTTCCTTGGTTACCATTTTTTAAACTCTTCTGTGTAAGTTGAGCTTTAGTGTTTTGAAAGACGCCTAAAATAAAATGTGTCGTTATTATCATCTTGTGTCCCTCAGGTCCTTTGCCAAAAACCTTTGCTGACTTCTGGAGGATGGTTTGGGAACAGATGGTACTTATCATTGTAATGACCACCAGGTGAGACTCCAGTTTGGATTGCTGATGTAAACTTTAATGTAAGGATTTTTACAAATGATGGCACATTATTGATGTGTTGTGAATGAGATGAAAATGGATTTACTGTGTCTCTCAGGGTGGTGGAGCGTGGACGTGTCAAATGTGGACAATACTGGCCTCTTGAGGAGGGCAGGACTGAACAGCATGGATACTTCTTGGTCAGGAATACACACATCCAAGTGTTTCAGGACTTCAAACTTTCCCATCTTGAACTGTACAACACACAGGTAGAGCACACGTGTAGTTTACATTTCTTTAACTCAGTTTAAGTCTTTTGAGATGAAAAACTGAGATAGGAGTTTCATTTGTCAATTAAGAGTTTCTAAAGAGTTTCTTTAAATTGTGAGAATGCTTTGTCAGTAGAAACTGTAGAAATCACCATATCTTATTTTCCAAAACGGCTTAAACATGCCAACTCACAAGAAAGAAGTGACTATCTTCTCTCTTTATCTGCTCTCCTGTGAAACCGTCTGACCTTTTAGTCTGGAGAGAGGCGGGAAGTGTGCCACTACCTCTATGTCAGCTGGCCGGACTTCGGAGTGCCCAAGAGTGCTTCTGCTATGTTGGACTTCCGTGAACATGTTCTGCAAAGGAGGGAAGCTGCAGTCCAGACCTTGGGATCCACCTGGAGAGGGCCTCCAGGGGGCCCCCCTGTGGTTGTGCATTGCAGTGCTGGCATTGGCCGTACAGGTAAAAACTATGGATGCTCTTGGCAGCTAATTTCTTAATCGACCAATTAAGGGGGAAAAAATTGACTAATCTAAAACTAAGAAACACTCAGATATCAAGTTAAATCTGAGAACCCTTCAATGGATAACCATTAAAACATTGACATCATTAATCCCGTTCTTCAATAATATATCTTGCTTAACTGTGCAGCACCTAACATTATCAACATTGAACATTGTATTCCAAATAGACAAGGAAGAGGGAAAAACACTGAAAATAAACCTTTCAAGTTAGAGTTGCGGCTCTAATTTGAGCCCCTCCTGAATGACTGAACTCGTCACCCTATCGCTAAGGGACAGCCCATCCACCCTTAAAGATCATTTTTGCTGCTTGTATCTACAATCTCATTCTTTTGCTTTTAAAAGAATAAGAGTGTTAACAAAAGATCAGACCTAGAGCAACATATTTATGGTCTTTCTCAATATTGATGCTCCATCTGGTGGCAGATGGCTGCATAACATTTAGTACATAGCAATTTACCAGCACTGGGCATCAATTCAAATGTTTACAATTAGATTACACTACTAGCACGTCTGGTACCGACTAGTAACACTAGGGATGATTAGTTGTGTAGTTGAATAGTTGCACACATCCTAGTAAAGATGTCGTCATCTGATTTAAATACTTTAAATATAGATTTATAGCGCTCTTATGCATCTTAAAGTAATCTCATCTGAGAGTTTTACTTTACTATTTGAACCTGGAGCCGGTGCCACTTTAAATAAATGGTAGCTAACCTTTAAATAGCCCAAGAAATTGGTTATTAAGTTTAAAGCACAGAAGACGGTAAAGCAATCTGCATCTGTCCCATAACACTTAAGTATTTTTTTACAGTGCCTGTTTAGCTCAGAGGGCTGATACTGTGTAAAAGGCTTCTCTTTAAGTTAAAGGAAATCCCTGCAGCCAGCTGAAGTGGGAGGACATGTTGGTCAATCTTCAGCCTGTTATTTTAAAAGTACCTCACCAGTGTGTGAGCCACTTTTGTGTCTTTATATATCAGTGCCACTGCCTTGCCTTCCTAATTGTAATTCATGCAGTTGATATACAAAATTAAAATCCCACCAAATGTGAATCTGGTAAACAAATGTAAGGTATTGTGTATGCAGGTCGTATTGCCTTGTATTATTTAGACAATGACTTTTACTTGAATTACCTCTTCCCTTCTGCTGAGCTGTAGTCCTAACTTTTGCATTTATTTTTAGGTTTTAATCTGTTGTCTTGTGTCCAACAAAAACCTTTTTAATTGAGTTCTTTTAAGTGTAACTTCTCGATATTCATCCCTCATGGCTGTTTAGGCACATTCTGCACACTGGACATCTGCCTGTCCCAGCTGGAGGATGTTGGCACAGTAGATGTCTGTCAGACGGTGCGGCGGATGCGTACACAGAGGGCTTTCAGCATCCAGACCTGGGATCAGTACTATTTCTGCTACACAGCAATCATTGAGTATGCCCAGCGGAATGGGAAGCTGAGCCCAGTGCAGTGGTCTGACTCAGAGCTAGAGACTGACAGCGAGTGAGAGACATACGGAGGGTAATTAGATGAACAGAACAGTCAATCTAAGCAGAAGTCATAGGAATGAGAGTGAGGAGTGGCGATTCTGAGTACATAAAGGAGATGACTCTTCAGACATAACAGAGAAGAGGCACAAGATGGCAGACTCCCACAGTTGCTCTTCCTTCTTCCCACGAGTTGATAAACTGAGAAGGCAAAGAGCTGGAGAAGAAAATTCAGTGCAGTGGAAACTGCATTGACGAGCAAGCTGGCCTGCCAATTTCCAAGCCCCTTTTTAAAAAATTTAGCAAACTACAGGGGGTTTGGCCTGCCCCGAACCTGTGTTGTCGACAAAAGCAGTGTACGAGTAGCATTTTTATATTGACTTGCACATGAGAAATGACAAACTTGAACCTTACCCCTAAAAGCCCTCCAAACCCGAGTCTTTGGTCCTTTTTGTATTTCTTGTCTCTTCTCAACTCTGAACAAATCTGTGACTGCAGATAAAATGTGTGGGGTATGAAAAGGTGAAACTTGAAAACATTTCTTTTTGCTTTTTCTTGGTTCTCTTTGAGAGAGTTTGTGTGACAGATCAGTGTGTGAGCCATTTAGTCCATTTCCATGTTGTTTTGGGGGGGGTTCCCATGTTAATTTTTTCTATGGTGCATTTTCTATGTGAGTTTCATATTTGTGCATATGTAGACTAACTTTTAAAAGCCAAAGTCCGCAATCTGAATGCTTGGATGTACTCCTTACTGAGATATTATAGACTGAAGCCCATGTATATTCTTGTAACATACATTTATACATTATTGTGCATAATAACAATTTCTGAAATAACAGCAAAAAAAGCCTTGTTTAATATAATTGACTTAACTTTGAGGAAAGAATTCCTGTGTAGCGAGCCAGGCTATGACAAAATATAGAAGAGTTCTGGTTTTAAACTAATGTTGTATTTCAAATCTCTGATTTGTCAGGTCTAACATCGTCTTTACTGTTGGAGCGTTCTGATTGGACGATCTTAAGTAATTTGGCCTTAACTTGATTCACTGCCTCGTCCTTCTAAGACCCTGAACCATACCTTTAAACTGTACACTTTTATTTCCTCCCGTGGTTCTCCTTTTTTTCAATCTGACTCTTGACACCACAACTGTTGTTTATTCCTGAGGTATGCTCTCCCTCAGATAATTGTGCCTTCACGTTTTCCTTAGCTTAATGTCTCACTAGTAAGTAAAACCCAAACTAGTGCACTTGCATAAAACATGTTAACTTTGTGCCACACAGGACCCCCACATTTTGCCTATAAGTCCTGTACATAGCACACTATGTATAAATGACAAAGTAGTGAGTTATCTGGGAGTTAGCTTTGAGACGTGGTTATTATTTTATCATTTGACCTCAGGGGGTGTTTTTGTCTAGTGTCAAAGATCCATTTCTGGGTTTGCCTCTGGTAAATTATCATTTAAGGAAAAAAATCTATATCAACTTTATTTTGTATTTTTTACTGTATTGTATCCTACTGTATTTATGTCTTTGTACAACTTCTACATTATTGAAAATCCGTGAATGTTGGTACGATGCAACAAAGAATAACAGACCAGTTATTGCATTTGATAAGCTGAACAAATCGAACGAGGAGTGAACTATATATATTTTTCTTTGTTGTTCACAATGACATTGAGGTGGAAACTGTCACTTGCCATAGTATTTTCAGAACTGACTTGTATAAATGGTGATTGTTCAAGTTTTGGACAATAAGGGGTTGGGATGGGGGTGAGGTAGGGTAGGGATCAGGTAAGCTAACTTGTGCTTTTAGAGAGTTTATCATAGAAACGGTAACGTTAACATCCAACTGTCTGGTCCCCTTATGCCAAGGACAAAGCAAAAACAAACAAAAAACCTATTAAGAGCAGAAAATGGCAAAAAAAAAAAAGGACATGTGGCTACATTTCTGTTCATATAAATATATATCTATATATTATTATGGGATAAAGTTTATCAGCATGGATAGAGCCTTGAATGTTTTTGGGGTACTGGTGTCCGAGCAATTTAGTAAAGACTTTTTTTTTTTTGGTGAATGTGGACCTTGCATCCTTCAATGCCAAAGGCCTAGGCTCAATCTGAAAGTGTTTTCCTGTCACACATCCTCAACAGCCTGCAAGCATGGACTTACTGGTGCAGTCTTGCATCCACGGACACCGAAAGACCCTGGAGCACCTTGGGAACATTGCTAATAAATATGTATAGCTAAAAAAAAGTGGGAGAGTGGGTATGCAAGAGTTTTGATCCCTGTGCTACATTTAATTTGTTTTGTAAGAAACTGAGAATGCAATGTGCATTTGTCACTGGTGTTCATTTATTGTCTCTTTTTGTGCTTGAAGTTCATGCGATTGAATTACAGCCTTTTACATGCTGTCAGCCCAGCTGTCCCATTAAAGAAATGGTCTTACTATCTTAAATGGATACAAAGCTAATGTGATCTCTTGGCTGAAAAAGAGTATTGCAAAGATTAAATGTGTAGTAAGAACATGTCCACCTTTTTCTCTTTCATTGAAATTGGAGTTACAAAATTGCTTTCACATACAGAAATGGGTTGATGAGATCTTTGAAGTATTAAGCATTCAGCTAACAGTCTGTGGTCTGCTCTTTGCACTAGTGCAGAAATGTAACAGTTTAAGTATTAGTTACTCTAGTGCAAATGTAATGTACTCGAGTTCCCTCGTAGTTCTACTTCACACCTCCATTACTTTCACTCCACATTATTTATTGGTTATGGTGTGGCGCAGATATTTTAATTAAGGCATGTAACTGAGACTGAGATTCTAAAATATGAGGCATAACTTTATATTAAAAGTCCACCTCAACCTACTTATCTTCCACATTAATGCATCATGGTAAAAACCTTAGGCATTACTCCATCTAAAATAACAGTTTCCAGTTAAACTGAGGTCTTGCAAAGTTATCTGAGATCCTGTGTTACAGTTTAAATATTTTCACACTGTTAGGCTTTGGAATCACGATTAGGTTTTAAGGATTCTGTTTACGCCCTATGACAGCTGGGATAGGCTCCAGCGCCCCCCGCGACCCTGAAAAGGATAAGCGGAAGCGAATGGATGGACGGATTCTGTTTAGATCCCTTCACACTGCCAGTTCAAAACAGTATGACATAAATAAAGAATGGGTGACGATGTGACAACTAAGATAGTCAATTAGATACCTAAGCATGTGGAGAAAACACAAGGGGGAAAAAACTATATAAGAACTACAACATGCTGCAAAAATAAAGTACAACTACCAAAACCTTTTGCACAGAGAGCGTCACCATTAAGAACCCCATCTTTATGAAAATGAAAAGTTACCACCACTAATTTAGCATGTTTCAATGTAGCCATTATTATGTAGTATTACTAACAGACGTTAAGGACATTTTAGTTAAAAGAAAATCATGTTGAGCAAAATCTGCCAGTTGTAGATTAATTTCTTGCTATAGACCCTTCAATGGCTAAACTCGTCAGTGGTTCCAGAATTGGGCACAAACATTTTGCCGTGCAGCAGCATTAGATCAGTAAAAAAAAAAAGGTAACGATGGCCTGCGCGGTCCTTTCATGCTGGCGCTTCATTTCACACCTGATCATGTCACAGCTGGCTCCTTATTTATCGAGACAACTTAACTCTAATGATATCAACCAGTCACAGACCTAAACCGGGAACAGCTATTACAAAGTGAATACATTTGATAGAAAGCAGGTATATTTGATCAGTTTTTTTAATAATGTTTCTTTAAACTTTTATATATTATTTAATATATTCTTTAATTTTGTAATATTTCTTTAATAAAAAGTGAACAAAGCAGTAGAATACCAGAAGTTACAGAAACTTTATTAAGAATAAATATACAAGTAAACACTGAATGTGTCCACTTTAATGTTACACTTGGACTGCAGATTTAAAAATTGTGAACGTCCTATGAAAGAGCATGTGTGTTTGTCTGTGTGTTGTTGTGAGGACAAAAAAGTTTCAGGCATCCCAATTTTAAAGCTTCATTGTCTTCAACAGTAAGTTGATGTCATCACAGAGCTTTTTGTTCCTTGAGTTTCACTGCAGCATCACCTGCGTATGTGATTGTTTTGAAAAGAGTTGGGGTGTGTTTCCTGGGCACGAGAGCAGGACGCACAGCAGACACTTCTGTAATATGAGTAAACACACAGTCTGGCTTGAACCACCACCATGCAGTTATGATACTTATCACTGCATAATGGATCTGTGAAGGAAAAGAGGGGAGGGGGGGGGGGAAGGGTAAAGATATTTTAAATAATTGTATTTTCTGTCTGTTGTTTAGTGCAGTCATCTGCTTGGAGCAACTACTAAACTGGCTAACCTTGATAGAAGAGGTGGGACTAATTTAATCATCCTACAAGACGCCAAGACAAAAGAATCAAATGTACTGTATATGGACCACATTAAGCGAGTTCGAGTTCTTTTTGTTTGAGGCAGTTGGATCTGGATCAGCATCTTCATCGTCTGAGCTCTCTGTGATGTAAGGGGTCTAACACTGACCGTTCAGTATGCAGCTGAACTGCTGTCGTACAACACTGCTTGGCATGCTTACCTATTTCAGCTACACAAGGCTGTTTGTTGCATTCTTCTCGACTCTCCAGGATAAAGCTGGGATCACAGCGATCGCTTGGGACGATGTTGTCAGCAAGACAACGGACCTCGCGCACACGGAAGCCAGCATTACAGGTCCGTGAACACTGAGGTCATAGGACGAAGACAGATTACACACAAACTAACCAGTTTGTCACAAATTGGTTCAGTTTTGTTTTTTAAAAAAAACACATGTTTTTAGATACTGAAAAATGCATTTTAATGGTCTCCTGTTGCACTAAAAAAAAGAAATCTTGTCCTTGGGATAACTGCAGATCTTTAATGAGGAAAAGTCTCAGTAAAAATGTAGAGTGGTCTATGACTTAAAGACATTAAAGGGGATACAGTGAAGCTGCAAGGAGTAGAGTTAGTCAACGTAAATGAGATTAAACATCCATGCAAAGGAAAGAGTATAAGAGAGGTGAAGAAAAGAGGGCAGGCAGGGTGGAGTGGGTAAAGATGAATGTCAGGGATGATTTGTGACAAAAGGATAGCTGCAATGACAAAAAGACAGAAGGCCGAGGTTTAGGTGATATAACTGAGGATGGTGAGATTTTAATTGGGAGTGACCAGAATTGACAGAATTAGAAAGTATTATATAATAGGGGCAGGTCATGTTGAGCAGTTTGGAGACAAAGTCAGAGAGACAAGGCTGAGATGGTTTGGATGTGTGCAGAGGAGGAATAGTGGATATATTGGATAAAAGATGCTGAATCTGGAGCTGCCAGAACTGATTTAGACGTTTGGTACACTTACCGCACTCCACTCCGTAACATACCACTGGACACCACATGGCTTCAGTCTGCAGGGCTGAGATGTGATTGGCTTCGAAAGACTGGAACATTTTAACTGGTCCACAACTTCCATTTGACCATCGCTGTTTAAAATGCAAGCCACACTTCGGGTCTGTGTGCCATTCCCACACTCTGCAGAACACTTAAATTACCCACACACATAAGTGAGTCTTCAAATGGATGTTGTTTGCACAGTTTGCAATGATGTGTGTGTGTGTGTGTGTGTGTGTGTGTGTGTGTGTGTGTGTGTGTGTGTGTGTGTGTGTGTGTGTGTGTGTGTGTGTGTGTGTGTGAATAACCTGACTCCAAGGTCCTGTGTACCACTCCAGACGATTTTGGCATGGCCCTGAATCACATGATGTCACTTCTGGCGGGCGTTCCCCTTCACAGCTATCCAAAGGCAGATTTGTCACATGATCCATCAGGCATACTACAGACCTGGTTCGACTGCCTCTACCACACTCTGCAGAGCACTAAGGAGCATCACACACACATTTCATTTTATTTGGTCCCATTTTGAAATGTAACATTATTTTATTTGCACGTCCTGTCACAGTCTCCTCAAACACAATATCTAACACAAACAGTTTCAATATTACCCGCTGGCTCCAGATAGAGGTGAACCAGCTGCGTGCACAAAGTCCCATGTCACAGTTCTCTATAGTGTCTGGCTTCAGGTTCATGTTACACTCCTGATCATCATCCACATCGCCCTGGTTGCTCACACACACCACCTCCCTGGTGCGCTGGCCAACTCCACATGGTACTGAACACTAGAGGAGAAGATGAGAGATCTAGATTTGTTTCTCATGAAAATTACTGAGTTCCTTTTATTCAGTGACATGTAAATTCCTTTGCTGCAGCTATAGATTGTGAGTTATGCATGTTTGTCTTCCTAAATGCCCATTCATGGCTGTATTGCTGAAATGAATGGCACAAGATACACATTATACACAATGTTGTCAGCTAGTTATACTTTGCTGGTTAGTGGTAGTGCTTTTATTTTTACTCCTTTGGGTCTTCCACTCTTTACAGCTTGTATGATTTAATTGTTTCACATGCTCTACTTCTCCTGATTGGTCTCTGCACCTGCTCTTCAGCCTGCCCACCACCACTGCTGATTGATTCAAAGCTTCAGTCCTGTGCTCCAGTCAGGCTCCAGCTAATTGCAACAGCTGGCTTAAAAGAGGCAGCTGTGACTTTAGCTGTCTGGCTAGTTTTCTATGTTTGTTGCAAAAATAACATGTTATATGTTGGCTGGTATGTGTGTTAAAATTAAACGTACCTTAAGAAGTCCTGTTCTTTTTTTTTGGGGGGGGGGTCTGTAAGTTGTTATATTACCATTTTGGATGGTTTTCCTACTCTAGAGACTGGGCTAGCTATAGTCTAGAGTAAAACGAACATCACATGTACCACACTTGGTTGGTTCTGGCATTTTTTTCTGTTTCTTTCCATTTTTTATGGTGTTTTGTGTTGTAAAACATTTTAACTGTGCCTCAGCCTTCTCCACACATACTAGATGATTGTCATTGCTCCGCTTTTCCTCTAGAGAGCTGAGGACGTAGCAGCAGTGGAGACTTGTCTGGATTACTTAAATACCTTAAGACTTCCCCCACGACTGATAAAATTACACTCCTCATACTACAGCTGTTCATAAGTATTCATGAAATGTGTGTTTTCTCACAGGGCTCCACTCTGATCGTATATCCCACTGACTGCAGATTTTCAGCTGGCACGTAGACTGGGTCACTGGCATGTCAGATGAACCGCACATCTCTGACTTCACAGTAACTGAAGTTTCTGTCCCACTGGCGTGAACGTCGGTGACTTGGCGGCAGATGACCTGGCGATGCTGGGTCCCAGGTCCACACCTTCTACTGCACTCTGACCACTCACCTACGTCCCAGCTGTTAGCCAAGAGAATAGAGACATGATGTGCTTTAATGTTGATGCATAAGTTTACTAAAGACCTTCACCAAATTGCCTTTGCCCTAGCTCTGTCTTCTTGGTGACCACAACTACTAAGTTCCTCTTTTCCACAGCGTATCTTCCTCCCCTTTACCCCCAACCAGCCACTCCATGAGCCTG